CGTATTCTCTTAACGTTCCTTATCTACTGCCACGTTGTTCGATCGTTTATCACGGTTTACACAAGTCAAATGGTATTATTATTATTATTTGTTTTTCCCTCCTTCCCGAAAAATTTTGTTGACGCCATTAATTAAAAAAAAAAGGAATTTTTGATTTATTCTTAACTGGAGGCTTTGGGAGGAAAAACAAAAAAAAATTTTTTTTCTTTCGGTTTATTGTATAAATAAGTTTTATTATTTTGAACCCTTTAAAATGTCAACAGTGAAAACTTTGTCGTAATGATAATAATGATGATGATGACGATGATGATGACGGTGTCATTGCTGGAAAAAGAGAAAAAAGCATAATTTAATTCCAGGTAAAAAAAAAAAAAAAAGAAAACTTTTGTGACACATTGACAGTTTTTGTAAAATTTTTTTTGAAATGTTAGATGATGAGTAGGGATAGGGTGCCGGATGAATGATTGACTGACTGACTGACTGACTAATTCACCAATTGAACGAAGGAATGAATGAATGAATAAATGGATTCAATTTTTTATTACTTATAAAATTAAAATGAAGCTTAGATCCGGAAAAAAAAAAATTTTTTTTTTTTTGTTTTCCAAAAATTTTTGATACTTAACGGAAAATGTTTGACTCGAAAAGGGTAAAAAGGTACGTGAAAGGTTTAAAGTTTTGTAAAAGGTGATTTAAAAGAGTGGGGAGAAGAAAAGTATAAGAAATAATTATAATACTGGAATGAAGAAGAAAGAAAGAAAGAAAAAAAAAAAAAGATGGAGTGGTAGGAAAATTTTAGATTTTTTATTATTCCCTTTTTTTTTCTTTCCCTCTCTCTCTTTCTCTCTCATTCTCTCTTTCTCTCTTCTTCTTTTTTCAGAATGTAGCAAAACAAAAATTTCATTTTTTTTTTTTTTTGTTTGTTTTAATTTTGTTGTTGTTGTTAAGAAAGAACCGGAAGGTTAAATTCAGTGACCTTACAATGAAATATTTGGAGGAGGAGTAGGTAAAAGAGAGAGAGAGAAGGGGGAAAGCGAAAAAGAGTAAGAGAGAAAGTCGTAGAAGGGGGGAAGGGGAGAGAAAAAAAAACACACCGCCTTGGTTATAGAACAAAGGTACGTCGGAATCAGAGCGGAAAAATCATGAATAATCACAAAGAGAAAATGGAAAAGATAGATTTTAAAGCATTTTACTTATTCAAATGATAAAAGACAAAAACAAAACACAAAATAACAGAGAGAGAGAAAGAGGTAGAGAAAGAGAGAGAAAAGAAAATGAGTGACGATATGTGGTGACGGTGGCGGTGGCTGATAACAAAAATTTTGTTTTACGTCACTACTACTCTTTTCTCTTTTTTTTTTTTGTTTTTGAGAAAAAGCTCATCAGTTTTATACGGTTAAAATTTTGTGTACATTCGAAATCACTTTTCCAGAGAATCCCGTCCACATACTCACACGCACACGCACATCCTGGATAATCCTGGATAATCATTCGGATTAACATTTAAAAATTTGACATTGATTAGTTAGTTAGTTGTTATCTCGTAGTTGTGGTATATTCAAACGTTTTTAAGTTTTTTCGTTCCAACCGATTTTTTTTTCTTTTTTTTTTTTTTTATTACACGGGGGCCTAAAATTCAAATTAAAAATTGTGGGGAGGGGTAGGATAGGGTGGGATGGGGAAAACTGGAAAAAGTTAATTCTGGATATGTAAATGTAAAAAAAAAAAGAATTTAATATCGGGAGTTTTTTGTTTTTTTAATTGGTTTATTCGATTTGGCATCTGGTTGAAGATAAGATCGTCATTAGCGTTTGATCCTTTTAATGTTATTACCGGGATACTATCTCTCTCTCTCTCTCTCTCTTTCTCTCTCTCGTGCGTGCATTTCCGGTTATGATAATAATAATAAAAACAAACATTTTAAATAAATAAAAAAATGAATGTGTTTTTTCCTTTTTATGCTTTTTATTTTTCATTATCGTAATAATAATAATAATTATTATTATTATTAAATATGAAAAAACGATCGTGTATCTCTCTCCTCTCTCCCTCTCTCTCTCTCTCTTTATCTCTCTCACCTTTCACTTTGTCGTTGACTCGAATGAATGTTTAATTTTGAAAAACGATTAAACCATGCGTGAAATAAAGCCCTCATCAAATTTTATATCATTTTATTTATTTTTATTTAAAAAAAAAAAAAAAAAATGGTGGTAAGTGGGGGGAAAAGGGGAGTGGGAAGAGGGAGAAGCTGAATGAATAACCAACCGCAAACGGTTTTTTTTTTTTTTTACTCGAAACGACTAAATTTATTATTATTATTATTATTTGCGTGATGTCTTGAGTTTTCATCGCACAAAAAAAGTTTTCCCTTTGCCCTCCTCCCCTCCCTCCCCGCGTAATTTTTTAATTGAAACCTTGTTCTTTGAGTGTGCGAGAGTTTCTGTAGTTTTTTTTTTCTCTCTCTCTCTTTCTCTCTGTACGTTTAAATTAAACGGTTGACGTTAGAAAGTGAATTAGTTGTCGTAATAAAAAAAAAAAAGAAGAAAGGAGGGAAGGGGTGGGGGAAGGATGGAGAAAGGATGGTAGAAAAAGATGGAGAGAACCTTTTGTTTTTTTTGTTCACATTCCAAAATTTCAAAAAAAAAAAAAAAAAAAACCTATTTTGCATTATTTTATTGTGTTCATAATAAACAAAAACATTTTCAAAAAAAAAGAGGGAGGGGGAGGGGTAGGGGTGGGAGAGAGAAAGGCAAAAACTTTTACTATCCAGCCAGTTATAAATCATAATATTTTTTTGTAGCTGCTACTACTACTATTACTGCTGCTGGAGAAGAAAAAAAAAAAAAAATGAAACAAATTTTTTTTTTTTTAATTTGCATTTTTTTTTTATCAGGCCAACACCAGAATTGAAATAGATTTAATCATGTTTTTTTTTTTTTAAATGGAAAACTGGTGAAAAAAAAGAAAATTTTTTTCCAGTAAATGTTGTTGCATGTTTGCCTTCTGCTTCTGTTGCGCCAAAATCTCTCCAAAAAGGTTTTTATCAAAAAAAAAAAATTTGCTAAAAAGAAACCGAGGAAGGGGCGGGTGGAGGGAGGGAGCAAAGATTAGAGTTTGTTATTATTGCGACAGGAAAAAAATAAAAAATTAATTAAATGTTTTTAAAGATTATCTTTATTATTATTATTATTATTATTATCATTATTAAATTTTTTCCAGTGAGTTGCCAGATTTTTCCGTTTACTGTCTGTCTGTCGGTTGGTTTTATATAATCGCACGAGCGCGATTAAAATTTTTCCCGGATTTTTTGGACACTTTGCCATCTCCTTCTCCTGTTGCTGCAGTTGCTGTTGTTGTTTCTTTCTTCTTCTTCTTCTTCTCCTTTTTCCTTTTTTGTCTCCATCGCGTTTTTCTGACATTTTTTTTTTCCATTTTTCCACTTTTTGATTTTTCCTCGCTCCATAGAATTTCTTCATCATCATTATTTTCTTGAAACTTTTTTTTTTCTCTCTCTTCTTACCCGATCTTAAAATTAATTTTTGGCGAGACACAATAATTTTTTCCCGCTCTTTTTTTTTTTATTTCCTCTTCCGTCCGTTTCCGGTTTTTTCGTTTGAAAAATGTTGGGGGAAAGGGAGGGGGTGTGTGTTTAAAATGAAACGATTCGAAATTTAACGTGGTAATTTGCAAAAAAAAAAAAAAAATTCGTAAGGGAGGAGCAGAAGGAGGAAGGAGGAATCGGTGAGGGGAAAAGGATCCTCAATCAAACATGAATTTTTTCGTTTTTTTTCTCTCCCTTCTCCCGCCCCCGAATCGAAAATAATAATACGTGACTTTTTTTTTCGTTAACAAACTTCGATACAGCTTACTAAACAAATTAAATTTGCATTTAAAATTTGATACCGTTTTTTTTTTTTTTTTTTTTTTGTACCTTTAGTATACGGAATATCAATTGATCCTTTCGGATGCTGAGCTTTTTTTTTTCCTCCGTTTTTAAGGCCGTTTTTTTCTTTTTTTTTTTCTCATTTTCAAGTAGGAGGCCGTTATTCGAATTTTGCTACGTGCGTGCCTACGTGTGCGTGATTGATTGATTGATTTGTTCTTTGTAAAACTTTAGGTAAAAAAAAGTAAAATTTTGCAAAATCAATTTATGAATTGCATTAAAAAAAAAAAAATGGAGGAAAAATTTATTTAAAAATGTAAAAAAATAATTAAAAATTTAGTTTGTAAATGTTGTTGTTGTTGTTGTTGTTGTTGCACAGGGAACGTTTGCGCCGTCGATTTCTCTTTTTCTCTTTCATTCCACGGGAGGGATTTTGAATCTCTCAAAAGTTTGCTGCTGCTCTCAGTTGCGTTTCGATTTTCTTCTTACACGATGGTTTCTTTTTTTTTTCACTTTTTAACTTTTACTTTTTTTTTTTAATTTTTTTTTTGATTTTTTAAATTGTTTTCTGTTATGAATGTGAACGTGTTGGTGAGTGTCGCGTCGGTCGGTGTCTTTTCGTGATTATGAAATGATAAAAAGATCACGAGGCGAAATATAGAGAAGGAGGGAGAAATATAATAATAATAATAATAATAGTTTTAATAAACGCAAAAGTTAGCGCGCGTCGGTTAATTACTCGTTTATTATTGGGCTTCTTTTTTTTTTTTTTTTTTTTTTTTAAATTAGTTGAATTAGCGTGTCGGTCGGAAGAACGAAAAGTTCAACGAATTCTTTGGTAAAAGTTTACTATTGTTATTATCATCATTATTATTATCTTCTATTTTTTTTCTTTTCTTTCCTTCGAGTCTCTTCTTTCGTCTTCGAGTTTGCGACGGTTTAAATATTTTATTTAGATTTTCGTGTTTCGTCTCGTCTCGTCTCTCGTCTTTGCACACGGCTCCGGGAAAACCGGATAAGGAAGTAATGTTTGAAACGTGCGAAAACAATCGTTTTAAAAGAACGATTTCGTTTGTTCTGTTTTCTTATATAAGATGATGATGATTTTTCGTGACAAATGTGCGAATCACTTGACCCGTCTGATAATCGCATACCGTCGTCCAATGATAGTAGCGGAAAGGTAGTTTTTAGAAAATTAGAAAGAGACGGAAATAGTGTCGGGATCGGGAGTCGCGTCGTTTCATCGTCAGAACGAGATCTCGAAAATTGTTTTGACGGATTGCAAATCAACGGGAATTCTTCTTCTTCGTCTTCTTCGATAAGGGAAAAAATCAACGATAACAATGATAAAATTAATGCGTCGTCATACGTCAAACCGACGAATCCTTTCGATACGACAAACGAAAGGATCAAAATGTCCGCGGCGGTGGCGTCGGCGAAAAGGCCGAACACGCTCTGTACCGGATTTTCACCTTTGTCGGTTCCTCCGGTTCGACGGAGACCTGCGAGCTCCTATATATCTTCCGGTATATCTTGCATGACTCCTGTGTCGACGACTCCGTCGAGTTATAAAAATGAAAAATTTTATCAGAGACCCACGAGTTTGTATTCCAGTGCGACTCCGAAAATCGTGACTACCAATCACCAGGGGAATTTTCGAAGCGTGCAAAACACTCCGACGACTCCGCAAAAATATAACGCACCTAGAAAATTATCGCTTTACTCTTCCGGTTTTCAAACGTGGAACCACAATCCCGAGAGTAACAATAGACCGGCAAGTTTTTGCGGTTCCGTGTCGTCGGGTAATTTTTACACGTGGTCATCATCGTCGAGTTCTAAAAATTTCGGTCCCAAGAGACCCAGAAGTTTCGGTCCGGATTCTTTAGGTTCTATTTCGACTTCGAACAATGGTCCCAAATCGTTGCCCTCTTCCATCAGCGATTACATGTTGCTATCATCCAAAAAAAAGACTGATCCCTTTCATCCTCCTACTCCTTCTCCTCTTTCCGCTCAAAGGAGACTCTCGTTACCCTCGGCTCAAGCTCAACTTCGGCCGAAATTCAATTCCGCCATACACGGTTTACCCTTTCGACCGTTCACTTGCGGCGTGTCACCGAACGGAACTCCGATATTTTTAGGATGCACTCATTTGCATCCTTCGCCGAGTCCGGTCAAACCGAGAGCCGTGACACCGACAACGTCACAAGCCATCCAACAACTTCTTCTCCAGTCTCGAAACGGATATCAGAGTCCCGATGATAAAATGTCATTGTTTTTCGAAATTCTCGACAGTCAGGAAAGATTCGTAAAGGTAAAAAAAAAAAGAAAAGTTTTTAAAATTGATTCATTAAATAAACATTCTAGTTTGGCAACTGTTTGTCTGGAGAACGAAAAAAAAAAAAAATGATTTATGACGTGAAAAGTTAAAATTTTTCATTCTGGAAAAAAAAAGGAAAAAAAAAAGGTTTCCGTCAATAAATTTTTCCGACGTGTTTAGTTTTTTTTTTGCTTTTTTTTCTTGGGGGGGATGGGGGAGGGAGGCTTTCACATGATGTATTTATATATACGTACGGCTATTGGCTCTTTTTTTTTCTTCTGCCACTTACCTTTTTCGAAAAGTTCAGTTACGTTCAATTAAAACAAATTATCCGGGATTCGAAAAAAAAAAAAAAGGAAAAATTCATATTGCTCAGGTGTTACACGCGTTCGTGGTTTGTGTGGGTGTGCGTGTGTGCGTGTGCGGCTGGAGATCAAGTCCAGAAAATCCGTGTAAAACATTAAACAAAATTAAATACGACGGTAAACAAAAAATGGGATGCGGGGTAGCGACGACGCCTTTTTTGGTTTTTCTTACTAATTTGAAATAAATTAAAAATTGCTGATGCCGCGGATTTGAACCTTTCTTTCCCATTTTATTATTATCTTTGCAAACCTTTTTTTATTTCGTGAGACTTTCCACGCTTTTCCTTCGGTTAATAGTAATAAACAAAATTGTTTTTCCTCCTCCTCCCCGTCCCCTTTCCCCGCTCCCCTCAAATCATTTTTTATTTTCGATCCTTTCGACGAAATAGCAGAACACAAAAGTTTTTCCCGATTTCTTCCCCGAAGGAATAATAATAATTGTTGTTGTCCAAGTGTTTGTGTTTTTAATGAAAAGAAAATTGTTTTCACGACTGTAAAAAAAAACATGGCGTCGCGAGGGGAAGGGAGAAAGAAGAGGCGGCGGAAAAAAGAAAATTTTTTCAATTTTATTTTTCAACCTAGTCTTACGTAATTTAATTATAAAAACCTTTAATAATATTATTATTATTATATTCTTTTTCTCTCGTCTCTAAGGTTATAATAATAATAATATAAAACCTTTGGGAGTGAGAGGGAGAAAAGAAATATCAATCTTTTTTTTAAAAATAAGACAGCAGAAGACAATAAGAAGGAAAAAGATAAATTTGATGATAATAAAATCAAAAATAATGATGATTTTCAATGAGGAATCGGAAGATGGAAAAGTTTTCTTTTTTCTTTTCCTGAAAATTTTTTTTTTTTTTTTTTGGAATTTGACAGACGATTCCCCCCCCCCCCCGATTACCCGAAATTTTTTATTCAAAAGTTCAAAGTTCGAAAGTTTTTTTTTTTTAACCGCGATTTACGTTATCAATTCTAAAAAAAAGAATGAAAATCTTTTAAATGTCTTTTCTCTTCTTTCTTTTCTTTTTTTGGGGAGAAAGGTAGGGAGGGGGGAGAAGACAAGAGATTTTTAACGTCGAAACAATGTGTGTGTGCGTGCGTGTGCGTGTGCGTACGGTTCGCGTTTGTTGACGAAACGAAAGTAAATTTATATATAAATATAGATAGATAGATTCGACAAACTTTAATTTTATTATCATTATCGTTTCTCTCTCTCTCTCTTTTTCTCTCTTCGTCTTCTGCTTGTGTTTTCTTTAATAATACCGGCGATTGGAAAATTAATAAAAATTTTATACAAATATTGATTTTTGTATGGAGAAAAAAAAAGAAAAATGTAACAAGAAAAGAAAATCCGAAGAAAAAGGAAAATTATTGAGATTGTTTTTCATTATTATTATTATTATCATCGTCATCATTATTTAAAAAACCGGAAAAAGAAGAAAATAATAATAATAATAATAATAAAAACCTCGATAATTTAATTATCGAAAAAGTCTCTGAAATGAATTAATTTGATCGTTCGATCGTGAAATTGGAAAAAAAAAAATTTAATTGTTGGACTTTTCCATTCCTTTTACCCGTGTCATTCATCCATCCTTTCTTCGATTGATTTTTATGATGATGATGAACGATAAAGTTTTTACGTCGTTTCTTTTTTTTGAAGAGAGAGAGAGAGAGTAATTTTTGATCGTTTCCGTTTTTAAACCGGAAATGATTTGACGGCGACGAATGAAAGGTATAGAGTGCATAAGGATGATATTTTAAATTAATAACGTCTTCGGGGGGAAAGTAGTGGTGAGCGTGGGTGTGCTTGTGCGTGTGGTGGTGCTTATCAGTTCATAGAGTTTTTGTACTGATAACAGAAGAAAAATCTTCGATTCGAGAATCGTATCGAAACGTTTATTTCCTTTTTTTTTTTCTACGATTTAGAAATTTTGATTCGATTAAATTTAAATATTCAATTTTTCCATGTTAAAAAAAAATAAATTATTGACAATATCGGTGTCAATAATAATGATAATTATAATTATTATTATTATTATTATCATTATTATTAAAAATGGGAAAAGTAAATTTCGAGTTTATCAATAAAAAAAAAAAAATCGACTTTTTTTTTTTTTAACGTTTATAAATTTTAATAGAAAAGAAAAAAAAAGGGGGAGGGAAAAAAAATTGAGTCAGACATTTTTTTTTATTTAAATATATATATATATTTTATTTTATTTCTCTCTTTCTCCCCTCTCTCTTTTCTCTGATTGAAATATTACTACATTTTTCCATTTTAAATTATTCTCTGAAGCCGTTTGACTGAATGACAATAAAAGTTTCTAATTAAAAATTAAATTCGAAAACGGAAAAGGTTGAAAAATAGTAATGATGATGATGATAATAATAATAATTTGCAAACTGAATGATGTTTTTTTCCCCTCCCTTTTTCCTTCTCTCCCTTTTTCCTTCTCTCCCTTCTCCTTCTCTCACTCTTTCTCTGTCTCACTTTTTTCGACGTTGAAAATGGCAAATACATTTTACCTTTATTTTTTTATTTATTTATTAATCGATTTTATTTCAATTTTAAAAGACAATTATTATTATTATCGCGGATCGAACGGTCGACGACGACGACGACGATGATGATGATGATGATGATGATAATAGTAATAAATAAAAGAAGAGAAAAAACAACAGCGAGAAAAGTTTGCGAATAGATGTTTTGACAAAACGGTAAAAAGAAAAAAAAATTAGTTTAAAACCGTCAACAAACCGGAAACGTTTGCGTTTTACGTCACGTGAGGGCGGAGTGGGCGGTGCAACGTGTGGATTTCCGTTTCCTAACTCGACGAAAAGTTAACCCGTTTAAAACTAATAAAATTTCGTCGTTAATGACGGCGGCGACGACGACGATGATGATCATGATGATGATGATAATTACAATTGAGAATTTTTTTTTTTTTTTGACGTTTTGGCGACATTTTGTGTGTGTGCGACGATTTTGACGGCGCATTTATAAAATCGTATTTGTTGTTTGTTTTGTTTTTTTTTTCGATCTGTCAATTGAATAAAAAAATATTTTTTCTTTTTTTAAAAGGTTCAAAAGATCAAATTATTTTTTTTTTTTTTTGTAATTATGCGCGACTGACAAATTCTATTGGGGTTATTAAAAAGTTTGAGTTTCTAAAGAAATTATTTGAACATTAAAATTATTATTATTATCCAGTTAAAAACTTTTAAATATATATATATAATTTAATCGTAATGAAATGTCCCCTCTTACCGTGGGAGGCTGGAGGTAGGAGGTAGTCGTGGAGGGGTTTTGTGACAATTAATATTTTGGAAATTTATTTCGAAAGGTTAATAAATAAATAAATAAATTTATTTATTTATTTATTTGAAAACATCATAAATTTAAATTTGAAAATTTTCGTTAATGCAAAAACAAACAACAACCAACGATTGTTTTGGGGGGTATTATTATTATTATTTCAAAAATTTTCATTCGAACCTTGTGATATTTATCGTTTTTGTTTTTAAAAAAAACATGGCGTTGTTGTTGTTGTTGTTCTTTAATCAAATTTATGAGTTCCGCCGTTTCTTTGGGTATATCTTATTATATGACCTCTTCATGCTGGAGAAAATGTTTGGATACTGGAAGTTTTGTTGCTGTTGCTGTTGTTGTCGAGTTTTGTTTTAGGTTCCTTTACTCGTTTTTTAAAAGAATTAATTTTTTTTTTACATTAATGACGAATTCGAAACGTTTCTTTTCTTCTTTTTTTTTTCCAGTGACTGGAAATCATTAAAAAACAATCGAGACGAACGCTTTTAAGTCAAATTCCTTCTTTTTTGACCTTTTATTCTTTTTCTTTTTTCCCCTCTCTTTCTCTCTCTTTTTTTTTTTTTTACAACAAGGCATCATCCACCTTCTCCTTTCGCTCTTTTATTATTATTATTATTATTATTATTATTATTATTATTATTATTATTTTTATTATTATTATTACCTTTTTTTATTCTTTTTTTTTTTTTACTTCGGATTCTCTCGGAAGGAGGGACGAAGGAGAAACAAACACTTTTTGGAATTTTGTTTTCTCTCTCTCTCTTTGCCTCCGTCTTCTTCACCGGCATCTCAAAGATTTATGATTTTGACATTTTAAAAAATAAATTTCAAGTGGGGGAGAGGGAGAGGGGGAGGGGATAGGGGAAGATCAGGAGGAAAATCTTGACTCGTAAACTTTTTTTTCTTTTCTTTTTTTTTTCTTCTTCTTCCAGATAAAAATAAATAATTTTATTATTATTATTTTTTTTTTAAAAGGGGGATAAGGAGGAGAGGGGGTGGGGTGGGAGTGGAAGGGGGGAAGCATTGGAAATTTAATAAAAATTAAAAAAAAAAAAAAAAAAAAATTATCGGAAGAGAAGTTCGTTTGTGTGTTTTTTATTTATTTATGCTAAAAATTTCACGTGAAAAGGCGTGGGGGAACGGGAGGCGGGGGTGGTCACTGACACAACAAAAATTTAAAAAAAAAAAAATTATTTATTTATTTATTCGCTTTTATCATTTTTCCTCCTCCCCCTTCCCCCCCCCCAAAAAAAAATTTGAATTTATTATTGAAATGTTAAACAAGTGTAGTAGTTATGTTGTAGGTATGTTTGCGCGGGTGTGGAATTTTTGTTTAAAGATTAAAAAGTAAAATATGATCGTAAATCACGAGTTTTTTTTTTTTCATCCCTTATTATTTTTTATGCGTGCGTGTGCGTGTGCGTGTGTGTGTGTGCACCGAGTTTATATAAATAAAAATAAAAACAAATGCAAATTGGTTTTGAAAAAAAAAAATAAAAATTTTTTTTTTTTAACCAAATTTTATTTGTTATGTATATAATTCTCGAATTAAAATGAAATAAATAGGAAAAATCGAGAGAGACAGAAAAAAAGAGAGAGAAAGAGAGAATAGGTAATAGTAATGGAATATAAAATGGGGCAAATGAAATTTACATCATCAACCTTGTGCGTCCGATTCTTTTCCTCATGAGAAATCAAATTCTCTGATTATAATCCCGTGTCATTATTCAAAACGAAATATCGAACCGTGTGAAATAATACTTTACATAAAAAAAAAAAATATCTGTGTGTCGGTTTGGGTAGATAGAGTTGCCCGTGTGCCGTGTTTGTTGTTGTTGTTGTTGTTGCCGG